TGGGGGTCAAATGGAAATAGTCTGTCACTTTCTCTATGTACAGATTTGCTGAGATAGACGACCTAATTTTTTTATTATCTTTCTTGATATTTTGCCAAGTTGCATCTATAATTTTTCTTTACCAAAGCCAAACCAGACTATTAGCGCCTAATAACTTTGATGTAAGAACTCAGATAGGCATCCAGATGAAGAAAAGCAAACCCAAGTTGCAATGCCAAGATCAAAAAACAGCCAAAAGAAGAGATTATTGATTTATTGTTTCATAGTTAATAGACAGATGGTATATACACTGGCATAAACTGAAGTTATTCTTCATTACTTCAGAGTAACAACGAAACATTGTGCTTTTACAGTCACTTCACATTAAATTTTAACTTATCACAAAGCAAGACCTCTGGGGAAGGAAGTAAATCTTTCCATGGCAAGCAGACACACCCCGAGATACAGCATCAACTTGAGACAGTTTTGAGGTTGGAAGTATCAGGAAGGAACTGTGTATACAAACTGTATATACTGAAGAAGCTGTGACTAATTCCAATGTTCTAGGATGACATCGTTGGTTCTCCAAGCTAAGAACTCCCATAAGCTCACAAAAGCACACAAGTAGCCTCATCTCTGAATTGCAGTCTTACTTTTAGTGCCCTTCTCATTTCCCAATCATCACAGATTTTTTTTTAAGCTATTTGCTAACTTGCTCACCATATGCCTCTGTTATCAGGGATACCCTGATAACAACACATTTTTATGACGTTTATTCTTCACCTCTGATAATTCAACCAAAGCTTTCTTTTTTCCCTCCAAACTGGCTCAACGGCCAAACAGCAACTCAAGCAGATGGAACATTGCCCATTTTCTTTGTCTACATACGAACACAAGCAAGGAGAACAGATATAGTTCCAACACAAAAATTCAACTACCACTGACACTAAAACTGCATATTTACATGAGGTTTCAGTACCTGCTTACCAAAAGATCTGCCAGAAATACCTTCCAGTAGTTACTGTCTCAAATTCTGGTTTGAAAATTTGTGCTTTGACTTGGACAACTGTGCTTGGGAAAAGAAAGGCAAGCCCAGAAATTATATCTGAGCAATAAGATCCTTTAGTCTTTTAAAAACCTAACAATTCCCCAAACCGTTTTCTAACATAGCCTACAGCACTACATTTTCTCCCACTAACAACAAAAATTCTTACTTTGATTCTCACAATGCCCACTGGAAAGCAGTTAGCCACCTTTGCATGTAGCACCACCCAATGTGCCAAATGCACACTCTCCTGCCACTTACACAGACTATATCACCCTCACCAGATGCTCTAAAGCTGGGACAGTTTCAAAAATCACAGCAGCAGAAATCAGCCAGAATCTTCTACAGTACTGTGTATACAAGCAACTCAGCGTTGACCATACTACAAGGAGTGTATTTTCATGTGCCACCTGCTGCACTAACAGCATGACCAAAGGCAGAGACAGCCTGTTCACCAGTGGACTCACTGGCTGGCATCAGAGGAGATGGACAAGAAACAAAGCCAGAAGTTACTCCATTGAATATGCTCTCAAGAACAAGAATTGGAGCAAGTTCTCTTTAGGAGTTACCTGCAAAATGATGCAACACTTGTGTTAGGAATTCAAGCCACTCTAAAGAAAGTGTTTCAAATGTCTTCCTATCAAGCTAGTGTAGTGGCAGTGTCTGCAGCTACGTTATGTGCTGCTCTGTAACTGGGGAGTTTGCTGTGCTCAGAAGGGGGCTTGGCAATGGCACTTCCACAGAGAGAGGTGTATTTTGAATGGCACTGGACACACAGAGAGATTTTGGAAGACAAGGCTCTGCCTACTCTCCTAGGGGCTGCCGATTCCACTAGGGTATAATAGGTTGCTTTGACTTTGCTCTCAGCTGAACAGACACAGAGTCAGAAGTGCCAGAACATTTGTCTGTGGAGCATGTGAATCAGCAGCATTTTTGTTCCTGGTGAAGCTTCTTGGTTTATAAAGAGCATTTCAGTTGAGGTCTTCTGAAGAAAAAAAGGAGAAGCGGAAGACTTCCTCTGCTTGCCACGTAACATAGAGGGGGTTGCTAACCTCAGCTGAACTCAGCAAATACTTAAAAGTCTGTTAATGTATTTCCCTGGTTTGGACAAATCCATCTTGGCTTTGCTTATGACAAATGAAATAATCCAGAGGAACTTTTTAAATACACTTTGTTACCCCCATCCAGACATCGTCTATTTCATTATCTTCTACACATCTGATTTTGCTTTTTCCTTGAGCAAATTGAAAGAATGTAACTTACCAATTACCCTCTTATGTAAACAAGTGTGAACTTGTACACAGCGGGGGAGGCTTGGACAGGCACATCTACCAAACAGTTTTTAGTACCATACCAACTTCCCCGTTTTTCAGGCAAGAGTTCCTTTTAATAGGAAAGGCATGGCCTGTACAACTCACAGCAAGACTTCAAAGACTGATTTACACTCTTATGTTCATATCAAATGTTTTCTGGATCTTATGTCTCGCCTGTTTCAGCTCAGCATTGGTTGAAATAAATCGTACTTTTTTTTTTCCCACTTGTCTTGCATCATCGAAACTATCAAATGTTCTCAAAGGCCTGCAATGTATCTTCTAAATAGCTGCATTTTGGTCTTTGCTGTAAACCGATCTTCCCCCACCTTTATGAACAAGAATGAAGGCTTTGGTTAGTTTTTTTTTAAGCCCTGTCTCGACAGTTTTCCACATCACACCCGCCATACAAAGAACCTCAGTCTTTGGCCAACCCAGGTTTATGAATGGCCACATTGTACATCGCATTCTTAAGCCTTCCTTCTTCCAAGACGCTGGAAGCCGAGGGCTCACGGCGGAAGAGCCTCCAGGCGCCCGGTCCCCTCCGGAGGGGCTTCCTGCCCTTCCCCAGAGGAGCCCCCACGGCGCTCCCGCCGGGCTCCACGGCCGGGCTGCCGCTGCGCTACCGGGCTCGGACCGCCGCGCCCTCTGCCCCGCATCCCTCCCCGCCCGGAGCAGGGAGCCCCCCGTCCCGGCTGCCGCTGCCGCCCACTGCCACATCACCATGGAGCTCGGCCGCTGCTTCCTTCCTTCCTTCCGTCTTTCCTTCCCTCTGCTCTCCCCCCGCACGCCCACCTGCCCGCAGACCCGCCGCACGCCCGCTCACCCAGCTCGGCACCCTGTTGCTCAGTTTGACTTTCTTGCACTGGCTCTCGGGCAGCTCCATGACCGCGGGGGCAGCGAGAGGAGGAGAAGGAAGGGAGGGAGGAAAACGCGCCTTTCCCGACTGATGCTCGGCGAGGATGAAGCCGCTGCCGCCGAAGAGCTGTGCCGTCTGCGCACACCCGCGGCTCGGCCAAGGGTGGTGCAGGGAGGAGCCGCTGCTCGGCGGCAGGGAGGGAGGGAGGGAAGGACAGAAGGAGGGAGGGAGGGAAAGAGAGAGGGAGGGGAGGGGAGGAGAGCAGGGAGGGACGGCGGCAGGAGCGCCACACGCGCGTGCGCTGTGCCGTGACGCGCCCGGGGGGCGGGGACCGCGCCAGGCGCCACTTCCGGCGCGGTTGCAGCTGCAGCTGCTGCTGTCCCTGTCCATGTGTCTGCCCCTGTCCGTGTCCACGTCCGTGTTCCTCTCCTTCTCCACGTCACGGCCCTTGGCCATGTCCTGCCCGTGTCCCTGCCACTGCCCGCGACCCGGCCCTGCGCCCACCAACGCAGCTCGCCTCATTCGAGAGGACATAGTCTTGAGCTGTGAGGAGAGGACATAGTCTTGCGGTGCATCGAGGGAGGTTTAGGTTGGGTTTTAGGAGGAATTTCTTCACGGAAGGGGTGATTAGACGTTGGAATGGGCTGCCCAGGGAGATGCTGGAGTCACTGTCCCTGTAGGTGTTTAAGGAAAGGCTGGGCGTGGCACTTGGTGCCATGGTCTAGTTGACAAGGTGTTGTTGGGTCTCAGCGATCTCAGAGGTCTTTTCCAATCTAAATGATCCTGTGCTTCCCAGCCGCTCTCCGCTATGATATTAAGCTTAGGTGGCACAGTGGAGATGTTCTCTCTTGTGTGTGGTGCTCCCAACCTTCTCCAGTATCGTGCAGAGGAGAGGCTGTTCCACCCCTCAGGAAAAGCTGTGGGCCAGGGGAAGGTGTGGAGTGGCTGTTGTGTTATTCTGTGGCAGGGCAAGCTAAAGACACAGCCAGAGCAGAGCACTCTTTTCCCTGCCTTTGAAGTAAGATGGGGCTTTGCTGAAAAACCTTAGCTTGGAGGTGATGAAACTGAGAAGCAGTGGAGTTGGCATCAGTGGTGGTGCTGTCATGGGTGACTGGAAAGGCAAGGACTGCTTCGATTGAATCTCCCACCTTACAAAGATCTCCCCGGCAAACAAAGCTAATCTCGTGCTGTGCTCTAGGAAATGTCTCTTATTGTGAATTTAGAACCAGAAGTTCTTGGGTTCTTATTTCCAGAACTGAACTGCTCTAGCAGTCAGGTGCTAATCTTAAGGTGTAGACGATGCCATGCTAACAGGAGTGGCATTCGTTGTATAAATATTAGTCCATTTATGTTAGATCAAGGAAGGAAATGCTTTAGCACTTAAGTGCTAAAGGTGGAATGGTGCTGTAATTACAGGAATTACATGTACTGTAAAAACATTAGTCTATCCCCAATCTATCTTGTAGCATGTTTGTTCTCTGATGGTTTAAACAGAAAATAAAAAGGCCCTCTTTGTGGATCAATGTTTACTCCTGCTATATCAGAAAGACATCCTTCCAAAGAAACTAAGGTGTTGGTTTAAAAGCATGTATTGATATTCGGATTAAAATCTTAAAATCCTTATGCAAGGTAGATGATGTCTCTGAAATCAAGAAAAAATAGTTGGAAATGCTCTCAGGCAATTTGAAGGTCAGATGGAATGAATACAATGTAATTAAGAAATTTAAAAATTGCAGTTGTTTATTTAGGCTTGACTAGAACATTATACCACATGTTGTCTTGCAAGTAACTGTTCAACAGATGGTCCCTGGCTGTATTCTGACCATGACAAACAATGACAGAGCCAGGGCCTGGATTTTAATCAGCAAAATCTCCCACGCAATTGTCTCCCAAGCATGGAGAGAGAACCAGCGCAGTGCTGTGGAAAGGTGAGTTAAGAGCTTCCCCCTGTTGACTATAAAGCTATTTCTAGGGTGTCCTTGGTTACCTGTGCTTTGCACAACATTGTTTTACATGGCTTGAGAGTAATTCTCAAAGTTATTTGTGGTCACATTCTTTTTAAAATTCTACTGTTATTTTATTATAATTATTTTGATGAGATAGGTACTGTTCATTCTGCAGACTGAGAGACAGCAGTGGAAAGACGGTGTCTTTCCACTAAAAATTAAATCCAAAATAAAGGCAGCCCACCTAATTATGCAGCAGTGACTTCTTACAGGTCCATTTGGCTCCCTTGTAATACTCACTCATTGGCTGGGAGCAAAACAGCAGATTTTTTTAAATGGTCTGCATAGGAGTTTTGCTTTGGTCAGCTGCTTGCCAGCAAGGAGTCCCATCCCATCATGGGATCTTTCTTGCCACCTACTTTCTGAAGAAATGTTGTTGGATTCTGATTTGAAGGTTGAAAAAACAAGGCTTTGAGCACAGGTGAAGTTTTAGGCAATGGTATTTAGAGTTTGAAAAACTGAAAGAAAAGAAAGTGCAGTTGTATTAATTAGCATGTATGCACAATACTGTCCAAACAGGTTGAAGGCAGGGAGCTGCATGATTCCTTCCAGAAAATGTTGAAAAAGACCTGATGAACGGACCATATACCAGTGAAATGTGAAGTATGTCTGCAAGTACAGACACTATTGGTCAGACAATGACATAATCTTAGAGGTGATAAAAAACTGTTTCTGAACAGCAATTCCTAAAACAGATCACCTTTTATGATTACATTAACATTCTAAAATAATGTATACATATATATGCATATATAGTATAGTAGAATACTATAGCAAAAGCACACATTTAGATAAGGTACATCACAGCATGGGAGGAACCACCACTACAGTGTTTCACCAGACATCCTGTCCCAAGATGTCAATTGAAATAAGAGAGATAAATCAAGCTTTAGGATTCAAAATATTCAAAAACATTGGATATTAGGAAAAAAATCTTCACTGAAAGGCTGCTCAGACATTGTAACAAGCTGCTCAGAGAAATAGTGGAATCACCATCCCTGGAAGCATTCAAAAAATGTGTAGATGTGGCGCTTGATGACATGATTTAGTGGTGCTAAATGGCATGGCAGTGTTGGGTTAACATTTGGACTCAATGAACTTACAGGTCTTTTCCAACCTCAATGATTCTATGATTCTATAAGATTATTTTGAATAGCTTCCAGACATCAATTATAACATAAAAGGAATGTCTGAATTAGAATTGACTATAGACTAGAGATGAAGTATTCTCTAATAATTTCATTTAATACTTAATGGTTAAACACTGACCACCTACTTGTATATGACTGATATACAAACCTAGAAATACCTTATCTTATTTCTAGGAAGAAAAACAGTATTAATGAAGCATTCTCTAGAATCCACCTACAGTTGTCACTTACAATAAAATGAATGAGAAATTAGGGGAGAAATTAATTTAATATTGGAATTGTTCCTTTGGTAAGCATAGTGATCAAACTCTGTTGACATGTCATGCTCATGTAAAGATGCATCTATTCTTTTTTTTTTTTTTCTTGCAAAATATCCAGAGCAGAGTAACTCAGGTAGTCATGCAGGCTGTCTGCAGTTTTGCTCCTTTTTTTTTTTTTTTTGAAAGATAGCATTTTCAATGTAGATTATGCTGCCTACATAGAAAAGGCTCATCACTGTTCTGTCAGCAGAGTTTCCAAACTTTATTTCTCACATAAATCATTTTTCTTTTGACACCATTCTAGTAAACAAGAGCTTTGGAATGTCTTTTAAAGAGATAAAACATTTTGTTTAAGTTCCTTTCAAATATCTCTCAACACTAGAAATAGGGCCATGAAGCAATCTCTGATGGCTTTTAACCATAAACTCCTTATTCACTGGTCTCCTGTTGGAGGTGCTATTTTTCCTCTGTCACCAGGTTTGTGTAGTGGAAAAGATGACCGTCAAAAGCTACCTGAGATTAACAAAATTATCATGTGGATACTTGCCCTGTAGTGCAGCTTGGGTTGCAGACATATGCTCATCTACATTCAAAATAAAATATAGGAAGTCCTGTGTAAGTCCCATAGGTCAAAGATGGGAATAGAGGAGATATTTCTGGGAACCTTTTCTATCTTTAGCAAAAGCTTTTTATAAATTTGTTAATAATTGGACTGATATGTATGTCCAGCAGAACAGTGTGGCACAGCCGTTTAAAGAAGCCACAAAGAAAGATCAGCAGAAATGCTGATAAAAACCCTGAGTGATGAGAATACCACTTGTTTTCTAACATACTGCTGAATGTTTAACTCGGACTTCCTTTCATGTCCCACAATACTGAGGATTAGAGCTCCCAATTACGTTGCAAGTATTACATCTGCTGAGTTTGCTCTTTAGACAAATAAACTCACTCCATATGCCATCAGTGTTCAGAATGAAGTGATCTGTTTTGGCCAGAAGTGAGAGATGATGGTTGGTGGCCAGTTTCAGGTAGTACAATGATGTTATGAGAAGCTGAACAGATGTCATCAAAGTAACAGGATATACTCAAGGCTGTGTTGGATGATGGAAGGGTGTCTCTGACAAAGTTCAGAGGTAGATTGAGGAAGGTACTGGCTAGGAAAGAGAAAGAGCTAGGGGCAGTGCAGATGCTAGAACTCGGGCTTAAAACTTCTGCAGAGTTCCCAGGGTGCACACATTATAAGGTGAAATAAAATACGATTTTAACAGTGACAGAGGTAGAGCAAAATTGCATAGAACACAGTTTTGAAAAAATCTGATCCTTATGCTCCATCTTTTGCAGCTCTATCAAGCTGGCATTTCAACTGGTGTAAAAGCTGTGATGAATGACCACTAGAGGTCATTCATTGAATAAGAAATAATTCAGGCTTTCAGTTGGCTGGTTTGCTGACTTGGGGTTTATTTGTTTTGTTCTTTGTCATTAACATAAAGAAAGAGTGAACTTTACAAGAGAGCTAAGTACTAGATTTCTGAAGATAACTGACTATCCATGTTCTCCACAGGTCCTCAGTGATTGTAGGTAGCCCTATGTGACTGCTGACATTTTCAGGAGTGCTAATGAATTTGATTGGGAACTAGACATACACCTAGAAAACTGAATACTTTGCTGTGTGCTTCTTTGTGTGTTTAGGTAATTAACACCTTAAAAAAATCCGGTCCTAATTCCAGTGCTCAAAACTTCAGAAATATTTATCTGTTTGACAAATGTCTATTTTCCACATAACTGTCTATTTTAAATTTAGGTACTATATAGTTTCACCCTGTTTTTGGCAGATAGAAGAAAGAAAATGTGTACTGCTTATTTAAACATCAGGAGTAAAACTCATAAACTCTAGACAGAAGGATCTTCACTAGTGAAGCAGAACTAAAGACAGTACAACTTTGAAGGTTTTTTCCCCTTTCTATTAAAGCCTCTGTTCAACATTTGAAGAAAAATACTTTTTTTTTCCCTTTCTTTTTCCACATCTCGGCATGTGACATTAAATGTGGGGGAAAAAAATCTCTTGGCAAATCTGTAAATAAGCTAAACCTGGTGGGATCTCTGAAGTAGGAATGGAACAGAAGAAGGTTATCAGGCAGGAAGATCAGAAGATGCTTAGAGAAGAAAACTAGAAGGATCAGCAGTTACACCTCCTGTCAGGTGAGCAAAAGAAAAGGAAGTTCTATGCAACAGTTCTTATACTAAAGCCAAAGAAGGATGAGCACTTCTTAGCTATGATCCTGGTAGGAGAGACAAGCTGAGAATGAAAGTGAATGTGAACTAACGGTTTGTTTTCTTAGGGATAAGAACATACAGAGGACTTTCACTCTTGTCAACAATCCTAGGACATAATGTCCCTAGGGCTGTTTTTGCCAAAGCACGACTGTTGAAAAGGAAGTTCCTTCCAAGAGTAGATGGTTTTCAACTAAATAAATACATTGTACATAAAGATTTGCCAAGTAATTTCTAAAGTCTCTGTACTATGAAATTGCTTTCTCACCAGCGACAAGTATTCTACCACTTTGTTTGCTACTCACTACATACATAATTTATCTTAATGATTGTTTTTGTTATTAGAATTCAAACAAATCTTATTTAATGAGGAAGGCCCTTTCTCAGAATTATTTGTAATACAATTGGAAAGCGAGCCATTAGGGTGCTTTTCCATAATTTATTGCTCTTGGCATGCAAATCCACCTCCTAAGAATAACATGTTTAGGAGAAAAAGTATCTATCTCATCTTGAACACTAAATAGAGAGCTGTATCACACACATACCCACCTGTTGGAAACAACTGTAGCAGTCCCACTATCTGATTGCCGATGCAACCATGGCACATTTTGAGAATCTAACTGATGTTTACCCTAGGAATTATTTCTTCTGAAGAAATCTTCAGAAAAGCTACTTTAGTTGGCTTTAGGTAGCAGTTGGTTTAGTTAGCAGTTTTGGCAAATCCACATAATTTAAAGTTCTATTTTTTTCTAAATGGAATTAGCAAGTTCCGAGATAATTTTTAAATAGAATATTGCCCACAACATTAAAAGATGGGAAAAACATTCTGTATGAAAAGTGTTAAAAGTGTTGTACACATGGATACTAAAAGATAGATTAGTGAGTTGCCACAGAATCACTAAGCTTTGAAAGATAGCTTCGTAAGAATAACTGCTGAAAAAGTAAATTAAAGGTTTCCAGAAAAGTATGGTCTGCTCATTAGAAAACAGGACAAGGATCATGAAATTAATCCTGGGAGGAAAAAAGTAATTTATTCTTTTTACCTCTGGTATTTGTTGTTCAGTATCAGACCTGTTGACATACGTTTTGGAGGACTACCCAGAACTACTAAAGCCATGTAGACACCAACCATCCTTGAAAAATGAGTGCTTTTAATAGGTCTGCAAGATTATTACATGACTAAAGACTTTTGGTTTGTCATTCTGTGTTTCAGTTTCTCATTCTATAACATATGAATAATCATTCTTTTTACTGTAGCTACTTGATTTGAGGAAAAGTCTTTAAAACCAAAGACTTTTTATATACCCTAAATATTACTATGTGGATACATTAAATAAAGTTATTCTACCATGGTGGCATTTACTAGTGCAGAATTGTAAAATATATTTTGGTGGAGAACACCTAAGGGCCAAAGTTAACAGAGACTCAACACATTTCTGGTTCAGTTCAAAAGGTGCTTAAATCCAGCAACTCAAGAACAGGAAAAACACTCCTCTAATCTAAAATATTTAATCAAACTACAGACATTTTCCTAAAGGCTAAAAGTACTGAATTATTTACCAGATGTGCCACTCTGAAGCAGCTTTAACTGAAATACTTTCTTCTAGACATCTCCAAGGAATTTAGAATTCGTATTTTCCCAGAATAACTGCTTCAATCCCCAGTGGGGCGTATAGCCAACCAGCGTTACAAGCAGAGATGTTGCATGTTTTCTTGGTGATACCTCACCCCTGGAGCTGGGCACTTCCCGTGCCCCCCCTTCTGGTTAAAGGTGGCAGCAGCGACAGTCGGTTGTTAACTGACAGCTAACCTGGTTCCCAAGGAGCAATTTCTCAGCTCAGCGCCTCAGACAGATGCTTGTCTCAGCGTGACTTTACCGCGGCTTTGGTCAGTGATACAGAGAACAGCCTGTGAAGTGCTTGTACCACGATCTCTCACTGACTCAAGTTGAACAGATGATTAGTGCACTTAATCAAATCAAAAGGAGCTGAAGGTTTTAGCCCTTTTTAAGAGGCTTTCAGCCCAGTAGCTAACAGGATCAGTCTCTAAATGCTTGAGTAATAATTTATTTTCTTTTATTCCCTTTGATGTCTGAGAACAATGCTCTTTGATATGCTGACAAACACACCAGCAAAATTGAACTAGAAGAAAAACAGCAGAAAGTGCTGGAAGTTTAACTGTTCTTTCCTGTGGGTGCAGTCAGTTTTGGTCAGACACATTTATCTGGTCACCTTGACTCCTCTCTGACTCCTTAAAAATTTTCTCTTGTGACTATAAACAATGTAAAAAATTGGAGGAATAGTTTTATAAAGGTCTTGGAAACAGAGACCTTTCAGACCTTTTCAACTTTAAAAACTCACTGGAGCAATCTTTTGAATTACTCAAGTTCACTAACCATAGAGCTAAATGAGATCACAAGGATCACCCCTGAAAAAAGGTCTGGAATTATTGTTACTGTCTGAAAAAGACTCCAATATCTTGGACAAATTCTTCAACAAGCAGACCAGATGGGATTGCATCCAGAATCTGACATTTCATTCAGCAACAGCAGAAAATGTTTCCAGGCTCATACCTGTCTGCTCAGCAAAGCTTAAATTTTGAACTGAAGGAAAAAATTCTGAAAATCATAACCCTAAGAATGATGCCTTGGTGGCCTTCAGAACAGGATATATTGAGTCAGGAAAAGAATAAAAAGAGGTCCTTTCATTATCATGCAAAGAATGGAGAGAGAAAAGGAGGCAAAGAAACTAGGAGAGAAGATATATTCCTGGCAGGAAAGTTTTTCTGAAATGTCAGCCTGTAAAATGTCTCAATAAAAATGAATCATCACTTCATGAGCACTGTAAGCATTTGTCCTTATCATGAATCTTTCTCTGTTGTAATATCTTGCTGCCTTAAACAGTTCTAATCTTATCATTATGGAAGAGGGGCTGAAAAATTAAAAAATAATAAGAACTAACCTAAAAGGGCATTTTCACCCAAAGCAGGTAGAAGAACTGCAGGAAGAAGTCCTGTAATATTGAACAGATATATGAGAAATAAATAACCTGTTTTTATTGTAAGCAAATGAATTTAGTGGAAAAACAGAAGGGGGTGGGGTTTCGTTCGTGAAGCCTAGCCACGATGAGTTCCAAGGCGTTTTTTTAGGCGTATGGTGAAAGCTGTGAGGTAGAGGGTCCTGTCTGAAAGCTGTAAGGTGGAGGGTCCTGTCTGGGCCTGACGCCAGGGAACCTTTGCGGCCGGGAATAGGGCAAAGTATAAAAATAAAAATGTATTCTCTGCCACATGGCCGTCCATTGTGTATGGAGAGACCCCCCTGTACCGTACGGAGGGATACGTCACAAATCAATCAAGAGGGAAGGTAATACCCCCTCCCGAGTCCAAGAAATTACCTTTTAAGGTAAAAAAACGGTGGTCACTGAATATTTAACAGCTTATAGAACCGAAAGAATACAAAAAGCGCGATTTTCAAACGGTTGGTGTGCCTTTAGGTCCATGTGACTTGGAGCGCACCCAGCGCGCTGCAGTAAAGAACTTCTCACTACACTTTCCTTGTCCCACAGGTATATTTTTTCTGTTTTTAAATCTAAAGGAAGGATTTTTCCTACAGATAGACTTCTAGTAATCTGAAATAAAAAAGTACATTGCCTTTAGATACTGTTTTCTAAACACTAAATCTGCTACCTTGTAAGTAAAGACAGGTCATATTTTCGTTCTTTTGTGGCTCAGTAAGTCTTTGCCTTCACATCTATTTTATGCCCAGAAAACTGAAATATAGCCCCAAATGTCAAAGTCTTCTTGAAAGTGTGCTTTAACAAAAAAAGCCTGAAGAGCCAACAGCAGGCACAGGAATCAGATTGTTGAACTGTACGTTCAGTTTCAGAAGGAAGCATTAAAGTTTGCACCTCCCACTACAAACACAAATGAAGCACCTGGAGTCTCTTCAGACTCCAGAAGCTTAGCACATATCAGGCCCAGTGGACTGAGAGCAAACAGCACACTGGTAAGTGTCCAAGGGACAGACTGACCTGGTTTGTGGCAGCATTACCTCGTGTATTACATTGTGTTTCACTTGGTCATAAGAAGTGTGACTGCAGTTCGTTTGACCTTTCTAAATCTTTATAAAGGTTATGTCTGTATATGGCCCTTGAATCCCATGGTTTAATATGTATTTACTTGCAAGTTGATTCCCACAAAGGACTCAGGTAACGTTCAGCAGAATGCCTAATAGTAATTAGAGAAACCTTTATTTAGAGATTCATTTATTATTACTCAGAGTTGGATTGTAATGATATAAAATACAGTCATGAAGGAAAAAGAATGCTTCAACAGTGTGCTTTTGTTCTCTAGAAAGCTGTACTGCAGAACAGTTTTTCAGGATGTTACAGGAGAACGAAAAATAAAGCTCACAGTACTTTGAAAAAAAAGACAACATTTGAATGGGAGGAGCATCTGAATAGGAAGCAGAACAGAAGAAGTTAAATGAGGTAGAAAACAAAGAAAGCTTTGAATTTGTAAAGCAAGGTGTACCTCTGCCAGATTCATCAGTGTATTCGTATCCAAATTTTCCTTTATACAAAGCCTCTTATCTTCTGTTAGTCTGGAAATCAAAGTGGATGATCAAGATTAAATTACTTGAAATGGAAACATTCATATAGAGAGTCATCTTTTCAAAAAAACTTCCTTCCTGAGTAAATTTTAGAGACAAACATCAGTGCTCCATAAACATCATGGCAACACTTAACAGTGTTTACATACTTCCTGATAATTCTACACCATGGTTGTTTTGACTAGAAAAAATGGTTACATCTAGGTTTAACTTGCCACATGTAAGCACAGTCTGTATATCTCAACTGACAGTCAATAAAAAGAATGCTACCTAAATTCAATCTACTGTACAGAGTGGCAGAAGCATGAGGATTAGTTGGTTAGGTTCTAAGCCAAAAGGCTTCTATATAGAACTTTGATTTCAATAACTTCCCTAGGTAATTACACCTTGAGGCAAGGTGGCTTTAAAATCCCTCTCTGCAGGAGCTGGGCAGTACAGCAGAGTGAAGAGCATGATCTTCTTACTATAAAAGGGTGGAATATTGCCAAAGGACTATTTTATGCATATTTCTACAAACTGTTTGTTTGTTTGTTTGTTTCTTGGATTTTTTTGGGATGTGGGAGGAGGTTGTCATGCAGAATTTTGTCATAGAAAGGTAATCTACAGTGATCAGGAGAAGGGTCATGACAGGAAATACACATTTCTTGTTTATGTTTCTGTTTATGATTTCAATAGCCTCCAATTAACCAAAAATACAGCTCAGACAGAGATGAAGTTCCTTCTAACCGAATCATTCTAATTTTGCTTAATAAGTTTTTCTTTATCCTCTAGAGCATCTGCTTTATTAAATTTCTTTTGTTTAGGGATAGTATCTTCACAGCAAACTCGTTAGACTTCATTTCAACTCACGTTGATTTTAGTTGCTTAGCTTGGTGAAGTTGTTACTTGACTTCATCCAGAACATTTCGAAGCTGCACATGAACAGCTGGCTATCTGCTGTGGGGGAGGTTCCGCCTGATCCTGAGCCTTTGTGCCTAGTTAGTCCCTTTGATCTGGTTAAACTGACCTGTACCATAAAATTACTTGATTTCTTGCTGCCAGTCACATCCACCTTGCCTCATGGGCCTGGAACTATTTCCATTCTAAATATTTGTCTATACATATAGTTTTTCAATAGAGTTGTACTGATGAGTCCTCAGTGTGTGGAGACAGGATTTACCAGCAGAAGTTCTTGTTTCTGAGTCTGGTTTTAGATACTGGCTGTTCTCTTCTGATTTTTTTCTGTTTTGGATTGTTAGAGCTAAAAATGAATGAGGGTGCCTTTGTGGAACCTGTCATTATGGAACTCAGTGAAAATTGCACCAGATGAAAGCCTAGAGCAACTTTTGTGGGAAACCACATAAGAACCACTCTGT